AAATAACACTACATTTCCTTTCTCTTTGGCTTTACTAATACTATTCTGTTAATTCTTGTTACATACATAAAAAATCAGTTTTTCTCTAATATTTAAAAATTAATAGTCACTGGCAGTAGCCTATGGCTATGTACTTTTTTAATAATTATCGGATGAAAGATCCATTTTAAAAACTTATTTTTTATAGTCAACACAAACAAGTACCCACTTATTACACGAAATCGGGCGTTGTTATCACAAAATATGTTATCACAAAACTGAATTTGAGTGAAAGAAGAGTTTATAAAGGGGTCTTATGTCTTTTGAAGCATAGTTACTGAGGTATTGGAAGATGAAAAGTATTTGATAGTTCCAATGATTAAGGTTTACTCAAAAGATACAAGTTTCATTCTAATGGCTTTTAAAAATTACAATTCCAAAAACATAAATTTAAATTTCATATAACGAGAACTAAATACAATAGTTATGTAGATTAGTATGTGTAGCCAGAGTTCTTGTGAAACATACAAATGTGCATTGTTATAAAATTTTGCCAGTTTAAAAATATACAATACTTAATATATTTGGAGGTGTGAAATTTCAAGAATATAATACTACTTAAAACAATTTTTTTTACAAAACGTTTATTTGGGTATAGTTTTGAAACAAATAAATGGTCTGCGTTTATAATTCTGTTCACGTAGGGAAGAGGGAATGTTTTCAAAGGAGGTAACATGCGGGAATCCACCTCCAGACAAATCGCCTGTCGTCACTTTAGGATAAAAGATTCGTAGTAGAGGGTGTGTTGGACTGTCTCACGTTTACTTTTGAATCTACTATCTATAGAAGAAATGGCTTTATAGTGCTATATCTTCTATCGTTAGGTCTAGAGTTTATTGCATGATTTCTTAAAAAAAAGAGGTTGGCGGCCTTATAATTAACCTTGCATTTGCCCATCCACACAGACTACAGATCTTTGCGTGGAACGTATCCAGCAAAGCAAGGGGTATAGCAAGGGGGGTTTCTGTTTCTATTATTAGGTTAAAGCTGGTACGGTAAGAAGGTAAACTGTACTGATCAAATGTTTGCGTCAGTGACCAGGATCCGAACCCACGACTTCGCTGCCTTGGGCCCGAAGTCTGTGACGCTACCAACTGAGCCACCGGCTCACTCTAAGAATACATATTAATCACTTCTTACTGTTGTATTGTAATCGGCACAAGTTTTATCACCACAGTTTGTATGAAGGACCATACTAAACTAAACTCACTTATAGATTTTACTTTTAGCGTCGTCAATTCACTATCTTAAGTTGTATTAGATAACTAGTTCCACCCAATTATAGATCAATTTTATATTTTCTCAGATTGTTAAATTGTGAAAAATTTCATTAGATTGGAGTAACATAAATTTAATATTGGTGACTTAATACATAATAGTTGTTACACTTAAATAATATATTTCTTAAAATAAAAAGAAGTAAAGTGAAATAAAAGTAGTAAGCTCTGAGATAGACTCATCCTTAGTAGTGTTCAAGGTTCACAGAGCACACTGTTTTGAGAGTGTTATTTTACCTAGATGGGTCTTAATCTCGTTTACAACCTCTAGAAAACGGTTAACGACTCGTAAAATTAGATAACTTGTTGTCAACTGCAATCGAGTCTTCTGTTTAAGTGTTTTGCTGTCAGGTGCTTCAAAATGGCTGTGAAAACTTCCCCCATAAACTGACAACTAGCTTTTACAACTCTTGATTGTATGATCAATAAACGACTCTGGCTTTTGTCAATGTAGATCACACTGTCGTACAACTAGCATTCACTGCCACTGTAAATAAGTTATAAAAAATACTGACGTATGTTTGTTTAATGCAAGTTAGAGTTAAAAATCATGGACACATGATTATGGTGTTAGAACTAAATCATATGATAGTTTATTTATAAAATTTCACATAAATTGTGGTCTTATGGCTTTTATCTTCATGATTATAAATAAGATAAATCAGATTATTTTAGTATGGGCGTAGCTGGTCTACGGTTAAGGGCCCTGTACAAGTGCTGGAGGACCGGCTCATTTCCCAACTAATACCAATTATTGCATCTGGCTTTTGACAATGACGTAGCCTAGGAGTCCGTAGCCCACATATGAATATGTTCATCCAGAGTGCTTAGTTTGAAAACTGTTTTAAGTTCAGCTTAATTATAACTGGTTTTTTAATAGTTTTGGTTTCAGTTAGTTGTACTTGATTTAATAATTTCATATCTATTTAAATAAATGAATGTTCTCAAAAATATTTCTTATTTTCTCGTAAATATTTATTTCTTCACATATGAAACTAGGACGAGGATTATTTCTGTAAATCTCACAATGCAAATAGTGCATTTAATTTCACAGTCTAATTTATTATAATGTGTGAAGGTACATTACCAGCAACTCTGAATATTGGTAAGTCAACAAAATGTGAAAATCCAGCCTGAATTCCAGTGATAAGATACCTCCTTCCCTCAAAAGCCACATGACAGTTACTGTCATGTGGCTTTTGATGGAAGGGATGGTCCATTTAAGTTTTGTAAACAATTAAAGTTTACAAAATTAAAGTTAATTAAATTTAATTAATAAAGATTATGTAAAAAATTAATGTTAATTTGTAACTTTGAGGTATTTATAACAAAGAATTGCATTTATTTCGATTAAACAATTATTCAATCTCCAATGCAATAAAACAATAAGTCTGGAGCTGTCAGAGGCAAAACCACTCATAACAACCAAACGTGGCTTGCAATGGATCCTTTAATTGAAACCACTTTAACTCTCATAACATATAGCATGCTGCTTTATAAGTTATATATATAACAACAGAAACATTATTAACAAACTGGGTCATTGCTCTAACAAAACGGAAAAGCCAATGTGCGGTAGAACATATCCTTAAAAATAATTATGTTTTAGAGTTGGCAAACAGAATGATTTACACATCCCTAAATTATGCTTGTAATCTACAGTAAAATACTTCACGTCAAGAACACAATAAGGGTTTGCATAATTTGTTATTGTTTTAACAGGTGTAGTGATTTTGGGCCTTAGCCCTGAAGCTTGAAGCAGGGGAGAACACACACCAGGTGTGATTGCTAGGGAATGCAATCCCATTTCACCATGCTAGCTACCGGAAATTGATAAACCTTAACTGTTTTATTAACCACGAAAACTGACGACTAACAAAAATGGCAACCAAAAGAACCAAAAGAAGTGAACTCTCTTAAGTCACTCATCATTTATTTAAAATGCTTATCTTGGCCTCAGAGTAATAAAACTCTTGGCCAACAAAATAATTTTGTTATTGAGCACATCGTAACCAGTTTTCCAAAAATTGTTATTTTTATACCTAGACAAAAAAAGAAGAAAAATGATTGAGTCGAGGACTATAGCTGTTCGGGAAAGAACCTTGTTTATAACCCCAAAACGAGATGGAAGCTATTTGAGGAGACAACTTATTAAGGTAAACAGTTCAAGAGACAGTTAAAAGAGTGATAGTAAGACAAGAATTTAGTTCTTTACACTTACAAAAAATGTGATCTCTCAGCATCCGTTTTAGCCAGTGAATTTAAGGAGCCCTAAAGACGATGCTAATATTGACACTTAAGACAACTAGTGCTAGAAATACTATTAATATTTTAAGTGGTTGGCATTGCGCTACAAGCATACCTTAAAAAGTTTTGAAACTAAGTAATTATTAGTAAAATTACTACAGTCTTATATTTGGTCTACAAATTTAAATATTTTTGTCGATATAATGTAATATATACTCACACAAAATATGTGGATACTTTACCTCTTCTGTGATGGTGAACATGAAAATAAAATAGTTTTTCCTCGGAAAGCAAGCATAATATTAGTACGGTCTGTCGAAATAATTACCGATGGAAACGGGACAAAATGAGTAAATATAAAAACATTATTTATGTTCTGGATTTAAAACACACTGTAATACAAGAGACAACCTGCAAATAAAACATAAAATTATCTTGCTAATATTGGTGTGACACATTCAAACAATCACGAAAAACCTTTATTCTAACTCTACGGTTGACATTCCGTTTTTTAGCAAAAAGGGACTAATATTAAAATCAGGTGAAGGGATTGTATCTACTCTAAAATTGGGGACTGTAATTTTATCATTCCCATGCTTCGCCAAGTTCGATGTCTAAGTCTAATTCGTAGATTCAAGCATATTTGTGGCCTCACAGTGCTCGATGAGGTGTATGAAGTGTAGACGTAGGGGCATTTTAAAACTACACAGAAAAACTTTACGAGCACACATGTTGAAGGTATTTGCAAATGTGATGTCTATGTTTTATTTCTGTGTTTTTGTGAAAGAACAAATTTAGCTGTTTAAAGTTTTGGAAAACGAAAAGGCTTACACCATTCAAAATATTATAATTTTGTTTTATTTTAAGTTGTTTTTTATAGGTTTTTTCCTGATTGTAATGAATTTCTTTTGTAACATTAGTTTTATATATCATACATTTTGTTGCAGATTAAAAACCGAAAACCCCCCTAACGTTATCTATACACACTTTTGGTTGATATAGTTTTGATACATTGTATGGATGTATTATTAACTATTGTTTACATTAGGGTAATTACCCAAACTAGAGTTAAATTGAACTCTCCAAATAAATACCTTTACTTGCGTTTAAACATTTCTTGTGTGTAAGACTAAGTATATTATAAACAAATATAGTATATTTTAAATACAAATATTTAAAATTTTAATCTGTTAATTTAACATCACAAGCTTTGACGGTAAAAATATTCTTCGGGATGTACAATGAATTGAATTTAAAATTGTCATCTCAAAGGATACATTGTTTATTTTTTGACTAATTAGTTTATAAGATTCTGAAATATTACGTTTTCTATTTTTATTCCTACTCTACACTCCAAGCTGCGTAGGTGCGGGCGTGAGGTACATAACATTGTGACGGTGCCTCAATCGTGAGTGGAACTGAAAATTTACTCTTTACCTCTTGAGTTTCTCTGCGAAATCGGGCCACATACGCCCAATAGATCTCTCCATCCTGTAGGTGGATCATAGCGTCCTAGCAACATCATCATCGCTGTAGAGTACAGCGTAAATATGAAGGTGAAGATGAAGAAGAAGTAGAATAGGAAGAAGAAGAAGAGTAAGAGATAGAAGGTAGTTGAAGAAGATTGTTGAATGAACGAATGAAAGAAGACACAATGAGTGAGGATGTTAAATGATAATGTGGTAGCTGAAAATAACTTAAAACATACTGATCACCATTGACCATTGTTAACATAAAAGAACACCTTCTTTGAAAAATTACTCCAAACGTATTTCACTTAGGATAACTTTTTTAACTATTGTATACCAAGAAGTACCAACAATGAGCTGTACACACGTTGAACAGCATGTGAAACAAAAACATGGTCGGCGAAGAAAAAAAGCTGCGGCTATATAAGTTACAGTCACATAATGTAACGAACTGAAATGTACTGGTAAAATATTTTTTATATGACTATTGCCTGCTCCAAGATTGGGAACGTTTGAACAAAAGTATTAGTTTGACACCAGAAAGCATGGAAATCTCTCATTTCTATGTAGTAAAAAGGTTTCCTCTATGTTAGAGAAACTATTTATTCAAGGGAATCGTTGGAATTTTATCCCCTAAACAAATACAAGGATATTTTACAACAGAACCCCAATAAGACATAACCATTCAAGACATTCATACCTCCTCATGTTGTAATTCTCACAGATCTATTTATGGCCTGCAAATGATTATCTATTTTCGTGATAAACATAAAAAAAAACTGTCTAATTACATTGTGTTCTTGTGGTGGTCTAAAAAATTTACATTACACTACTCGATCAAATAAATGTTGATTTATGATTACAGTCTGAAAATTACCGTGTTTTCATACAAATTGTATAATTTGTAGATCATGTTTATCGAATCGAGTTGTAATACGAATAGATATTCTTAGTTATGTGAAGTATAGTTGTACCAAAGTTAAAACGTTCAACGTAAACCAAATAACACGGGTAAAACATGTTTGAAAAGATCCAGCTCCATACAGTAAAATGTGGTTGAATCGTTCGGTATAACCATAGACTAACCAACACAAGAACTAAGGGAGTATGTTTTATCTATGGTATAACATAGTCCAAAGATTTTTGTAGAAGTTTCAGAACACCCTATTATACACTCGTTATACAGGGTGTATATAAAGTCCCGCACGGGCTTAATATTTTCTAAACGACAACAGATAAATCAAACAGATTTGGTACATCAACACCACACCTAAAAATCTACTTTTTTAAGGAACTATGAATTTTCTGTCATATCATGGGGACGTCCCGCAAGGAGTCAGAAGAAACTCTTAAATAGGAGCATAGGTCACATCAGTTTAAAGGTCTTTACTAGCAGATTATAATGCCGCAAATTTGAACTCAAACGGATAACCGAGCCAAGAATGACAGTTGTTCAAAGATTCATTTAATTTGCATTGCTATTATACGCTTACTCCCTAGGGGGCACAGCCCTAGGAATCGGAAGAAAATTGTTAACGTAAGCATAGGTCGATATGCACATCAAATTAAAGGTCTTCACTAGTAGATTACGATGCCGTAAATTCAAGCTCAAAAGAATGCCTGAGTAAAAAATGGCAGTCATTCAAAGATTCAAAATAGCGGGTTCAAGAAATCTTTGAACATTTGCCATTTTGCGCAGGATCAACCGTTTGAAGTGTGATTTGCGGCATTGTATTCTACTAAAAAAGACCTTTCATTTGATGTGCATATTGACCTATGCTTCCATTTAAGATTTTCTTCCGGCTCCTTGCGGGACGTCTCCAAAATATGACAGAAAATTCATAGTACCTTGAAAAGGTAGATTTTTTGGTGTGGTGTTGATGTACCAAATTTTATTGATTTATCTATTGTCGTTTAGAAAATATTAAGCCCGTGTGGGACTTTATATACACCCTGTATAGGAAATTGTAGTTATAAAAATACCGTAATGATAAATACCTACATTACTCTAAAATGTACAAACTTTACGAAGCTGGTGTTCTACCAACCCCTTACAGTACCATGCCATGCAGCTGCCAGGGCGGGTACTCACCGAAGGGTAGTTCGAACCTGCAGTCTACCAGGAGGGAATGGCCCGTGGGGTTCTTGGTACCCACTACCTCGCCCTCCATCATCACAAGCTCGGCGTCCAGTGACACCCACTCTCCTGGACCCTCCTGCAACCAGGGTATTAACAGCTGATTACTATATTATTTTGTACCTAATATAATTGATTAAAATACTTAAAACAGCTGTTTTAATGTATGCGTTGCGGGTATAAAGTAGATCTTTTACTCCCTAGGGGTAGTCCCCCTAGTTATTAATAGTCACTTAATAGCTTCTCTTAGACAGTGAAGTACCTTTTGTGCGTATTTTGTCTGTGTTAATTTTACTCATTGAGATTAGCTGGTTTTAGCCAGAGCCCAATGTTGAAACATTCTAATTGGTAAAGCATGTCATGTTGTTTTGGGATCTAAAATATGACCCCAATTTGATGTTGCAAGAAACATAGAATAAATCATACATTACGCACACTGGCTATCTCTGGGAAACAAAGGAGAAAACATAAATGTTTAGAGAATAAGGAAAACGAATACAAACACTTGACACGTTTGCGGAACAAAAACCATCAACCGGTGGAAAACACCGTGAATCCTCGATGGACATCAATGATTTGCATCGAATTAGGGATTGATACAATTGTAATGTATTTGTTCATGGCATTTGAAATACTGTACTTGTAAAAAGTAAAATGTATTGTTTTCTCTTATTTATTCATCATTATCAACCAAAGGGTCCATTTTATGTTAGACTGAATGATGAACCAACTATCAATTATTTGAGATGAGTCACCACCTAAAGTGTGTATTTTAACCCAAATGAGAGTGAGGAATGAGTGTAGAATGGAGTGAGATGATATGTGTTGTTACTGATAGTATCAGCTGGTTTATCAGTCAGGATCATAGGCGAATTTTCAGGAACAGCTGGGTCCGGTTTCAAACCAAAATCTTGAATTTTCTCAAGATCGTACCGGTGACCTTTTGATTGTCAGAAAAGCATTTTGACCACTCAGCTACCAAGCCAGTCGAATTATACATGAACATATTATTTGGGTTCAGGATCAAAGGACATACAGTGCTATGTGGTCGTACTGACTTCGAAGTTATATTACTGAACCCTTTAACACCAAGAAATACTAATACTGTACATCTACATCTACATATCTACACGTTGATCCACCATATACACTCATAACTCACTTAATAAGTTTCATTTATATTTACGTAGCCTATTATTTTATTTGTTACACTTCGCAGTCCTTTGAGAAATAGAAGACGTCAATATGTAAGTTTTAAGGGATAATAACAAACCATTAAACTGTCTTCAGTTAATTCATAAGATTGATGAATATACACGGAGAACAGCATAATACACCCACGCTGTAAACCGGTTCATATAGGGAGGGGTTGTTCAATAGGGCCTTGTACTAGATTTGTATGGCAATAGGTAAACCCCTAATACTGTACAGTATTCGGTTCATAACTTAATGTTTAAATGTTTCTCGCATGAGTTGTTAACCGAGAGTGTTTAAATCCGACAGAAAATAGTCTTTCATATTTGTCTCTAAACTGACATTTTTTATCAAAATTATATAATTTTCCAAATCCTTATACAGTATATTATACAGTATACTTAATAGAAATACCACAACATAGTTACAGTATAAGGAAACAATGATGACGTCATATGCAACAAAGTTTAAAAAATCTCAAAACTAGAAAAAAATATTCAGTTAAATATCACGCCATCCGAATAAAAAAAACAAGGCGATTAATGCATAGAGTAAAGTGGTTTTACAAAGAGGAATCCTATAAATAAATCTGAGAGTTAAACCAGAATCTGAGAGATAAGGAACAGGATGTTACTACCTGCTTACCTGCCTACATAAAACAATGTTGACAAATCATATATTAATCCTGTAACTAGTATAAGATTATTGATTATTGACTGAAAGCTTACTGGGAAAATCTACTTTCAAACTGAATATTTGTTTTAAATACTGTCGACTTTGATTTAAAAATAAAGTTACTTTTTGTGTGTAATAATGTATAATACTTTAAATGTATATTGTAATAATGTAAGTTTTGAAATTTAAGGCTTTAATTTATTTCCAGAGAGATGTGTTGATATAAGTTGTTTCTTATCCAAAAAGATTCAACCAGGCTATTTTAATGTATTTTAAGGAGATATTCTCCTCAAATAAAATGTCGGTAACGGGCAAAACAGCCCGTGTTATGTTACGTCTACGGTGGTATTATTGGAAACTTGAACGGGTGGTTTTGACGATGTCGTGGACAAAGAAGCGATCACTATGAAATACATTATTTTATATTTACAGTGAAGCATGACATTTTAACCTAACTTTATTGTAGAGCGTGGCATTGAAGAATTACACTACTATTATCTTAATATTAGTTTTACGATTTTCGCTAAAACATGTACTGTAGTCTCTATTTGTGAATTTTGTCGACAGAACTACTTATGTAGGCGGATAAACATGAATTTTACTTCGCTGTTAACACCTTTTGATAAAATAACAAAATATGTTTTACTATGAATCACAGAAAAAAATTTAAACTACGTTTACAAAAACCGTGTTAACGGATAAGACAATCATAGTGTTTCATTTCAAGAAAATTGCCACCCTGGAGGAACTTTGTACCAATAAATTACCCAGTTTTCCTCACCATAAATATAAGCCACGCTTATGATAGCCCTACATATTGACGAATTCTAACATTGCAATTAAACAGAAAAAAAACGTTTAAATTTTCAAATGCACCTATGTGATTTATTCAAAGTACATCTCTCTCATGAAACAAAAACTAAATTTGTTGTAGAATGTACCTAATCCATCCACCTACCTCATTAAAAATTAATTAAACTATTCTCTTTACGAAATTCGTTAAAAACGCCTGAAAGCACAACAACATCTTCGCCTCGTTTTATTCCTAACCTAATGACACGTGGATGTGCTTTGCTTTGCGTTTATTTAGTCTTCAACTTTCCCTCTCAAAGCGAGAGAGTTCCCTCCAAATCCGGCGTCCGGTCGCTGGTTGAAGAGTTGACGACTGCTGTCACCTCGCCGGTCTGTCACTTTCACTATATTATACATTCCCAGCCTGTAACCGAATTGGCAGGACGCGATTTAACAGCATCCGGTATCCGTAAGATATCCGGTATAAACAGTTTAAGGTATAATCAAACAAGTGCAAGAAGTCCCAGAGTAAACTATTGAGTCAACTGCGACTGGTTGGTAAAGAGGTTGTGGCGCCTTTATCAAATGGCTAAGTGATGATAACTGCTAGAAAAGAATTAAGCTTATGCTATGAAAGACTTTAACTCGTGTTAGGCAAATGTTTTGTCGGCAAACTATCGTTATTAGTGGTTTACATGTTGATGGTTTCTTTATGTTTAAATGACTGTCTGTCGGTTTCGGTATAGCCTACTAAAATTATAGTTGAAAATGGAAGCTTAACGCTGTAAAGTACTGTAAATATTGGCCGTTAGAAAAACACTTAGTCCAAATGGCTGACAAGAGAAACCAAAATCAATGTATATACCTTATCATAATCATCCCAGTACCAGTTGGCCAGTTGGCATGGCTCATAAACCTGGACACTAAACGTTAACGGTTTTACTTTTTCAGAAAACGCTGTATGCCATAAGTTCGAATGTTTGTAAAATGTTGGTTGTTTTAACGTAAACAAATTTTATTTGCGAAGATCATCGATAAAAAACAGTGCTAACAAAATAAAATAATAATTGGATTTAAAAATTAAAATAAACACAAAGAAAACGCTTATGATTTACACATAATAATCGTAATTCTTTATAACTATCAAAGTATGTTTAAAGTTAATTTTCAAAAGTAGTAGAGAAAACTTAATCTCTGTCGAAAATATATACAAGACACCATTCGTAGAATTGGTAACGTTGGAGATAAAATAAATTGTGAATACTGAAATAGGTTAAAATTGCCTAGGAAACAACATACTTTTTAATCAATCATTCAAACCATTAGGAAACATGTATAAATATAAATTACCGCTTCTTCTAAAACTCAGTGCATACTCCTACCTAGGAGTCGTAGGGGGCGCGGTGATGATTACTGTTATACGCCACCGATATGTAGAAAAAATGAAAACCCAGGAGCGCCAGCAAGAAGACGAAGCTAGTAGTGTGGAGACACACCAAGAAAGTGATGACTAGCATTTGATCCAAATTACAACAAAATTCCAGTGAACTACGACAATCAACGAGTTTATAATTATTGGCTACTCCACATGATCAGCCATCGCCGGGCATAGCCCCAGAAGACCGTCCAGAAGACAACGGATTTTACAACGGATTGACTGGACTGAAATATTTAGTTATAGACAATAACTAGTTAAATGAATAAATAAATATATAGCTAGGTATGTTCTATAGGCAAATATGTCAAATTACATTAAAGTGAAGTTTAACAACACTTTTATAAGCACGCTAAAAATTTAAAATATGTTTTTACTAAAGATTTAGGATTTTATAATACTTAAACAAACCTTATTGGTAAGACATGCTTTGAACAGGTGCAAATTTTAATTAAAAGAAAATTGTCAACTCATTGAAAATCAAATTAAAAATTATCTGATTAAGAAAGCTTTTTAAGAACTCCTTAACTTATTTTAAAGATATTCTTCGAGTATTTTAAGCAAACAGCAAACCTTATGTTTCATTCAGGCTTTCTAGAGATTTTGTAAAGCTTTGCAGTGTAAAGAACGTAAGAAAAACGATTAGAAACTAAAGAACTTTAAGACGAAAACGACCAAAGGTTTTGAGTTTAATAAAAATTTTCTCTCCGAAACTTGAAAAAACCGCGCTTTATAAGACGGACATAACTACTACAGCTTTAGAATGACAATAATTAAGCAGTAAAAATAAATACCTTCATCATAAAATATATACATTTAAATATAAAATTGACAAATTAGGTAAGTAGGAACTAAGTAAATATGTGCCCACTTAATATCAAAGCAATAACTTAGATAGACCGTCTCTGAAGAAGATAAATAAATCAAAGTTAATTGTGGATACGTACTAAAATAACAAATAGTTAAATTTGCATTACACAGAG